AGCGATGCAGTCTCGACCTCGTTCACTTTTGACGAAGTGTCGAAGTGACGGGTCCTGCTGCTCGAAAATAGCTCGAGGCGGGAGACGGGGTGGTGGGGGCGGTGCCTGGGGAAGGTGTGATTGCCGCCAAGAACTTCGGGTGGTTTCCCGCAGGAATGCTAAAAAACTGGCGGCCTATGATCGACGGCCCAGATAGGCCGCCAGTTTTTGAGCATTCGGGCGGGCCTGCCGGACCCTGTCAACTTTTTTGGGGGGCTGGGAGGCCTCCACGACCCGCATGGAGGCCTCCCGGCCCTGAAAAGATTTGAAACTCCCCCGCCATCGAATTGCGCAATTTGCAACGGGGGGGGAACTGGCACTCTCCACCGGCCGGTACCACTGGCCTGGTTCCGGTGGGGGAAGGGGGCCCCGGTGGGACCGGAAATTCAGCCTTGTAACAATTGCTATTTTTGCAGTCATTTGTTCAAGTGTGTTTGTGATAGAGAGCTTATTATATGACAAGAAGTGTTACAAAATTTTCCCATTTTCCCTCTGTGCACCCAACTTTGCTGCGTCCGTCCGTTCAGTGCCGGAACACCCGTCCGACGCAGCGCGTTAACGGCCGCGCTGGAAAAAAATAGCTGCGTGAGGTACTGGTGGTTTAACAGGAAGGGCTGCATAATAGTGCACATGTGATCAGCCATTGAACCACCAGTACGTTTTCCGGCCATTTTGCAGAACCAGGCTGTGCATGCTGGCGCGTCGGGCGGGATGCACGGGGGTGGCGTTTTGCCCGAAATCCATCCAGGCAAATCGGCCCTCTCACGCGAGTGCGCCATGTGCTGTATGCAGTGCGCAGTGTGCGCACTGAGGGAGGTGCTCCCTGTGCGCAAAAGAAAACAAAAACAAATATATATATATATCGTCACAAAYAGAACTGCCCGGTAAACCGTATATATATATCCACATTTTTAAACTTTTAAATAAATAATTTGTTACAATCGATAATTATATCATAAGAAATAAAAAGAATAGTAATATATACATGTGAATAATGATATATATATGTATATTAGGTAGTAATATAGAAGAATATGATACGACAAAAAAAAAATACATATATAAAAGAATATATACCAATCTATTAAATTTACAATACTAATAGATTTATATTATGGTATATTTATATTATGGTTTATTCTTAT